ATGAGCGCTTTTCTTTTCGTTATATTAGCTTGGTAGTGAATATATTTTCTTACAAACCATGCAAAATGAAGAACGAACATAATCATGAAATCTTCTATTATCAATCATCTCACGGTAGCTTATAGAAGCATATTTAAACAAAAAAAAGAAAAGAAAAGTGAATTGAGAACCTAATATGAACTAAAAAAATAAATGTATATATGAAATGTAAGTTATTTATCGTGCGATTTGTAGCACTTGTGGAACATGTCTGTATTATTTTGAGAGAAGGACTTTGTTTAAAGCGAGATGAGCTATTTAGAAAATAGTTACAAAATTGTTTACAATATAATTAGTATTCAGTTTTACTTCAATTTTTGCTCCAATTAAGTCGTGTATCATTCTGTTTCAATTGTTATCTAACAAAAATTTCATGGGACTGACAACATCTCCTCAAAAACTATATTCATTAAACACTGGAATATAGTCAGTTCACTTCTTGATATTATTATTGATTCACAATGTATTTAAAACTTAAAGTGAAAATCTGAAGTCGGGAGAAAATCTTATAAATCAACTCCAGAAATCAGAAGATTTGGTGAGCCTATAGCAAATTGAGGGTATCGACTTTTGGGTGATATATGTTGCAGACGCTGTAAAAATTCTATCGAGTGTCCCAGGGAAAATGGACCTCTCAATATTTCAGTTATATCTCTTTTAATATTTGTTTGTTAAGGCTTTATTTTTTTTCAAAATTTCGCCTTTTAATTCTCTGCAAAATGGTGTATTTTTTTGTGGATCTAAATAACATCCATTATTTTTCAAAATAAACTTCAAAAAAACAATCCAAGACAAACATTTTTGTAAAACAAATTTTTGTCGAATTTTTATGATTTCATGTTTTAGTCTTTCAATACGGGTATCTTTCGATGCTACTTTTTCGCATTCAATAACATCACCAAAATCATCTCAAAATGGAGAGTTCAATAAATATAAATGTGAATTATTCAGTGGTTAATGTTTCTTGTTGATGAAAAGAGGAAAAGTTGCTCTGACATCATAATAGTGTTAGTTGAGTGATGGAAGGTTTTGCATAGTTCTGATAAAATCTCCAATTTGACATTGACGGTCATTTTTGATCATGGAAGACTAATTCATGCTCAATAAGTACATAATGTTATTCAAGTATCAATAGAATGTGGATATGAAAACTTCAGAATAGATTGAAGATTTCATCAGAACCATGCAAAACTTCATATCACTCAATTAACATAATAATAATGTCAAAACAACTTTTCCTTTTTTCATCAACAAGAAATATTAACCACTGAATAGTATTCATGATTGCCTCAATAAGTTCTATCAGAATATTTATGTTAGAACAATAAATAAAAGCTTTTAAAACTTTGAATTAGGGATACCTGGTATAAAATAGAAACTCTACGTGATCGTGTAATAAAAGTAAATTGTCATTGTTTGAAAATATTAGTAGATAGTGAACATTCTTTAAGACATGTATTAAAAGTATTTTGTAATGCATTTAAATGTTCATATGTTGGTTCCTGAATATCAATAGTTAGTCAACCAATTTTAATCCAAAGATTTCCAAAATACATAAATATAAATGACCATTCACAGTAGTCGTCAAAAGTTCAGCTACCAGACAAAAAGTATCTAAACGTGAATCCTTCGGTCTCATAGTTTGGCGATAAATAGAACACGATAAACTCTGATCTCAAGCAATAATTAGGACTAGATCGACTTTCAAATAAAGGAGCTAGAAGACCAACATAGATTTTTTTTTTGTTCAGACGAGGATATTTCAACATTAGCAAGAAATTTTAGAGCGTTCAATCACTCATTCCAGAGCTTAGTACTGTCTCTATCATCGATAAAAATTTCATATCACACGATTATAGTTTGCTTGATTTATGATGTTATCTTTGTGTAGTCGTAGCATGAGAGTTAACGGAATTTGTCAAAAATTTACCTGTAATTCTGACTATTTTCAACCATTTATTTTGAAATTTTCTTCAGAAAGTTGCCTGATCTAATCAAGTATTCCCTAAAATTTCATGATTATAGTAATTGGTCGATCGGAGATCTATGAGAAGACCGTCTCAAATAATCGAAACGTCACTGCGTCTTAGGATCACAGCAGATTGGTGTTTCTATCTGTGACATAGGATAGATATGTGCAGCTTTATTTATTAATAAAATGAAGGATATTTACCCTTCAAACTACTGGCAAACCAGAAAGGCGTCACGAAAAACCTTTTTTGAGGTCGAAAGAAAAAAAGAAGTGTTTTTTTTTCTAAATCCGATGCATTAAGGTCGCTTCACTTGACATTAGTGCTTATGATCAAGTTATAGCGAGCTCTGTTTACAATAAAAATATCAGAGAAAAGATTCCAGTTTAGGTACTGTTTACCTGGTAGTGAGGCTTTTGAGGAGTTACTCGCCTGCGTACAATACAGTTTTTGCTGCATAGATATTATAATAGATTCGAAAAAATAGATAATGAGACCAAATTAAATAACTATTATATACATAGATCTAGCAGGAAGAGAAGAATAAACGATAGTTCAATAAATAATTTAATATATAGAGTTTCCATAAAACACATTTAAACTTTACCAAAAATTCGAGAGTTTTTTCAAGTTTCGAGTGAATATACCCACCATCATCAGCAAACAATAACAACAACATAAAATATATAGAGAACAATTGCATACATTTATATCCAACTGAATGATTGTTATTGTTTCGTGATGACAATGAGCATGCTAACTAAAAGCTTGAAAGAAAATTGTTGAATGAGGATAGAATTCAAACGTGTTTTGTGTTACTTACATAATTAATTATTTATTCACTTTTTTGTAACACTCACTTTAATTGACTCTATGAACGA